CCATCTTTTCACACTGAGGACAATTGAGGGACTCAAACACAACTATTAAAAAAGGTTCAAACATTCACTGATGCTCCAGAAGGAAACACGGTGCATTATGAATTTGAAGATCAAGGTAAATTTTACTTAATTTGTCTTCTGGGAAACATGCAAGTATCTTCTGTTGCTTCCAAAGGGCAGTACTACGTGGAAAAAAAAGATATTTCAACAAAATAGGAAAAAATCTTCTGGAGCATCAGTGAATGTTTGAACCTTTTTTAATAGTTGTGTTTGAGTCCCTCAATTGTCCTCAGTGTGAAAAGATGGATCTCAAAATCATACAGTCACTGCAGGAAAGGGTTCAAATATGCAAAAGATGCTGGAAAACTGAAGAATCTGCAGGATATTGAGGATTTTTCTGAAGAACAGTGCTCCGTTTAACTGTTTAGAACGAACAAGGGACTCATGAACAACCATCACAAAACAAAAAACAGTCGTATATCATCCAGGTAACCACACACAGTAGGTTCCCAAACTTTTGAATGGGGTTATTTTAATAATTTCAGCTATTTTTTTTTTCTTGTGGACTAAATGTAAACATTTTTTATGTAAAATATCTTACTCAGGACAGTACTAAATAAAAAAATAAAAAATAACATGCATTTTGTATGATCTCTCTTATTTTGTTAAAATTATTCCCATTTTCACAGATTCTGCAAGGGGTTCCCAAACTTTCGCATGTCACTATATATATATATATATATATATAATATATATAAAATTTAAAATGTCTTTTAGCAAAGCCTTACTCCAGTTTTCAGTGTCACATGATCCTTCAGAAATCATTCTAATATGCTGATTTGGTGCTCAAGAAACATTTCTCATAATTATTATTATCAATGCTGAAAACAGCTGTGCTGCTCAGTATTTTTTTAACCATGATACTTTTTTTCAAGATTCTTTGATTAATAGATATTTCAAAAGATTAAATTAAAATAGATTTTATGTAAAAGTATAAAAGTTTTACTGTCACTTTTGGTCAATTTAATGCATTAAATTGCTGAATTAAAATATTAATTTCTCACCAACAAAAAAGAAAAAGAAAACTAGCATTACCATTCTTAATATCTAAATGCCACAGGGAGATATAGTATGATCTAATGAAAGGACAACAAAAAGGTAATGGGGAAAGAAAATTATGAAATAATGAATTATGATGATGAGTATAATAACCTGCAATGTCAAATGATCCACTTGACTCACTTGTCAAAAAGAACATGCTAAAGTGTCAGTTTTTGTTATTCTAGTTTTCTGCACGTGTACTACAAATGCATTTTATTATGAAAAGTTACAAGCACCAGGTTTTTGATGAGTACAAAGCACTGTCCAGATTCAGCAGCGCTGCCGACCAGCTCTTGCCATATCACAGCGAGCATCATTAGAGGAGAGAGAGAGGAAGAGGACCAGTGGGGGGATGGTGAGAGCAAGGGATTGAAGAAGGGAGGGCTGAAGACTGTATGTGAGAGAGAACGAGGGAGGGGGGAGGTAACGAAGAACCGAGACACACAGTGTAGCAGGAATCGCCACAGAGCTGCCGAGGGTCTTTCCATGAAAGCGGAAACGCTCTCACACACGCACGGGCGGTGAAAGGTAAGACATACGGGGGCGTTCTCCCTTTTGCATGCTGGGTGTATAATCCTCTCTGCAGACAGAGTGAGCAGCAGTGGGAAAGGATTCAGCACTTAAAAAGGATCTCAGCGTCCAGTGATGCATTTTTCACTGGCCACATTCTGTGACGGACAGTTTCAGAGAGACTCTGGGGTGCATGTCTGCTGGAATGAGGTAGAGGGATGCTGGGTATACCTTAATATTTTTCAGATTCACTTTAGTTTGTCACAGACAGTAAATGCATTCAAAGAGCATTACTAAATTAGGTGAATTGAAAACAGTGATTTAAATGTCGTATTTAATGTTCCCTATTTTGTTCCTCCCGAGCTTCTGCTTTTAGACTGTTTTGAAGGTATTCCCTTGCACCTGGGATTTATTTTGTCATGGCTGTGTGTGTGTGTGTGTGTGTGTGTGTGGATCAGGTTTTACCTACATTATGGGTTTTAAGAAGGAAAATGGCTCAATAAACACACCAAATAATGACTTGGTGACAATATAAAAATGCTAAATGGTTTATATAAGATGTAGGGGCTAGAAAATATCATTTGTTCTGTATAAAACCAGTAGAAGTCAATGAAAAGTCTACCGCATGTGTGTGTATGTACAGGCATGCAAGATCATATGCAACCTGTCAACTAATGAATCTGCTTGTAACACGTTTTTCAGGTGCATATGCAATATTGTGATATGTTTTTGATTTCATGGACAGGTTGTTTTCTGATAATCTGCTGAATTTGAATCAATTAGGCTCTATACCATAGGGCTCAATTACTCCTGCTGATGTCATTTACGATGATCTTCTCCAAAGAGATTTAATTTGATGTGTTTGCTTGTACAAGCATTTATATATAATGCACACACACATACACATACCGAAAGAGAGCTAGAGCTGTCAGCACTAATGGTGGCCTTTAGCAGTGCGTGATAGTGAAAGAGACAGATGGTGGCAGAAGGGTGGCTGAATGACCTTGTCCCCCAGCAGGGCACGTTTTCAGCCTTACATGAATCATTCTGTAAGGGCGAGAACTGGGCAAAAGAACCCCTGAGGTTCTATAAAAGGTCAGACAGAACAGGCCCAAGGTCTTCAGACTGCAAACCAAAAGAGACCATTGGCAATTTGGCATTTGTACCGTTCAGGTTTTGTGTTTGGATGGAGGTGGGGTGGCATTTTCTATTTCGCCAATGGTATTTTCAAATGGTAAGCTGGGCTGCAAAGTATTAGTAAAATGACTCTGATCTGAGCATATGTCTAGTGAGAATCTTCTCAATGCAGCTGCATCATGTGAGAAAGATGGAGGGAGACAGAGCATCGTAATCGTTCCATCACACACATCATAATCACAGCAAAAGGGGCAGAGAAAGAGAGAGATACTTCTGGGCCTTTGAGAGAATCAGCATGGATTAGAGGGCTTTCAGAAAACCTCTGTAGTAAGGTTACAGCTGGTCTGGTACAAGCCGTACCAAAATTTCAGATCATGACACCCCTCAATATATCTTCTCTTGTACTGAGGGTTTAAGCCCCTGTGTGTGAAATATACAAAATTCAAAATATCTCTCATTACATTGAATGTTTAGGGCTATTTTGTTTGAGTTGTAGCCTGGCATTTTCAGACTAGGTTAAAGGGAACTTCTTACTTTAGTGCAGAGTATACTATTTCTTGTGATGTCTCTCCGCATGAAAAGCAGTGATAAAGTATTGATTGTTGTTGCCATGGGAATTATTTCCTGAGGGACTCATTTACGAGTGAAGTGATCATATTTCTACGTACTTAACTAATTTACTGTGAACTGTGCAGACCACCAGAATCGATATCCCCTCTAAAGAGAGATGCTTTTACCTACATTCTATCCTGATTAAACTGAGATGACTAACTTAAGTGTAATTTATTTTAATGCCATGTCTAATGACTATTGTCATATCTTTCATTCTCCCTCTCTCTTCTCTTTCTTTCTCCTTGTTTTGTTAACTGGGTACAGTCTATTTTTGTCTCATCTTTGTTTTTGTTTTGTTTTTTAAAGCAAAATTCCACCATGATGGGGTTTGCTACTTCATAACACAGCAAACCTCATTATGCAAACAGCATTGATATATAAAGCCATTTCAAATTAAATGATCAAATGAGCATAAAATATTATTACCTTCTAATTGTGTTATACAGGATTCACCTCATTGATTTGATGTGTCAACTCATTATTGAACAGCTATTTACCGCGCAATCCTTAGAAGGGAACAGTTATAATGTAATGTTAAGGGTTTGCTAAAGTTGGCTTGTGCCATTTTTTTTCTAACAGGCTTTTCAGATGAGCCCATATTTTGAGTGACCCGAGAGAAGAGGAGAACCATTTTTCCTGCGTCTCTGTCTGTCCCATGAGCAGCCATGCCTGTTCTCTCACCTACCACAGGTACGTCATTAAGTAGCTGTGATTGTAAATTATACTTGATAAGCATATAAAGAACAGTAATTTCTTCCTCATTAAAAAAAGTACATGTAAAGAAGTAAAAAAAAATTTTTTTAAATCATGTACCTATTAAAAGCTGTTTTACATGGGAAAATGTTGAGAACACATGATAAATTGAAAATGTGTTTAATCCCCTCTCCTGAAACATGATATTATGAAGAAGTTTTGCTGACAGAATAGTTTAAATATTACTAAAACCTTTTTCAATACTATTGGTAAATTAAAATCTTTTTTTTTATGTGCTACCACGTTTGCACTAATAGGTGTCAGTAAGTCCTGATGTGTTGGTCAATGCAACATCATTATATTATTTATGTTTCAAAAAAGTATACAGATAAGGAATAACTATATAAACTTTTTTATAATTTTATCTTGCAGGTTTACATGAGATGCTAGCCCTCCTCACTTCGCAGCTGCATCCAGATGCTAATCATAAAGAGGACATGGTTTTCCTCAGGGAGGTCTTCAGTGAGAGGAGCCTCAGCTATCTTATGAAAGTGCGTAAAGCAAGAGATAATGTCTAACATCCTAATATTGTTTTTGTGAATGATTTTCCATATGTACTGACCTTTCATGCAGATCCATGAGCGACTCAGGCAGTTCCAGCTCCAGAGCCCGACCCCAGTGCTCCACAGCGCATCCTGCCTGGCCGAAGATGTAAGTGGCATCTCTACCTCAACGGCAAACAATCAAATCTTCATTATATATCTTATTTATGACTTAATACTATAATATATATATACATCCATTCAAAAGCTCTTCAAAATGTTGGTAAGATTTTATTTTTTTATTTTTTGTTTCTGAAATATTTCTCTTTTGCTGACCAAGACTGCATTTACTTTATGAAACAGATCATGGAACAAAAATACAGTAATATTGTGAAATATTATTTC